CCACTCTGGAATGGGGGAAGGGGTGGAAATGGAGGGGAGGGGAAGGCTGAGCTTTGTGCATTCAGAGCAAAACAACCGGATAAAGGAAATGGGCCTGAAGGGAAGCTGGGCCAGGCCGTTTCCTGCAGCCCCGGGAAGGGTGGCGGCAGCCCCCTCTGTGGGACTGGACAGGCTGGCCAGGGACACACTGGCTTGTGTCCTGGGACCCAGTGTTTGCTTGGCGGGGCTGGGGGTCGCTAATCCCTGGGCTCCCCCACCTGCAGCTGCACAGGCCTGGAGGGATGGCCCCCCTGTAATGAAAGCCCCTGGAGGAGGGGAGACAGCTGAGCAAGCAGAGCGCCTGGCCAAAGTGGATGCCTGGTGGACACACACCTGTCGTCACTCTTCCCCTTGACAGGTGGACGCACCCCGGAGGCACTCAAGCAGGCCTTCCCTCTGGGCTACCCCGCAGAACAAAGGCAGGCAGGAGGTGCAGAAAGGTCTTCCTGATGGAGCTGGCACAGCTGCCCCGACCCAGCCCTGCTCTGTGTGTCAACATACTCAGTCTGTGCAGCAGGCATGACTGTTTTACAGACCAGGGAACTGAGGCTCTGGGAGGTCACAGGACAGCTAAGAGCTGGGATGAGAGCCAGGCCCCAGCAGCGCTACACCCCACATGTGCCCTGGGCACAAAATGGGGTCCTCAGTGTGATTCAGTGACCTAATAGGCTCCCAGGCCACCAGGTACAGCTCACCTAGGGGGCCATGCTCTCTGAGTGTGAGGGTGACGCCTGTGGTGCGCACACACACACACACACACACACCACCCCGGAGCACTTCCCCAGGGCTGTTCTCACAGCACTCGCGCTCCGCACACTCCCTGGTGTGGTCAGTGGGCTGTGGGGAAGGGCGTGCTGTGGGGGCTCCAGCTGGGGCTCGAGCACGTGAGGGAGGAGCTTGGGCAGTGCCCGCCCAGCATGGTCTAAGCCGAGGAGGGACGTCAGAGTTGGGATTGAGTCAGATCCCTGTCCCTGCACTGTGCGTGGAGGTGGCGTGTGCAGGGGGCCTGTGTGGTGAGGTGAGGCTGAAGGAGGTGGGCCTGGACATGAAGGGGTGAGGGGAGGTCCAGCCAGCCCTAAGGTCCTGGCCTCAGACTGCACTTGGGAAACCCTGATGGGGAGTGTGGTGAGGGGAGCAGGCCCATGCCTGATGGGCTACTCCCTTCACTGGGCTCCCGCCAGGCAAGCCTTGGGGTGCAGCCAGGTGTCCAGCTAGGAGGTAAAAGGCCCACTCTGGTTGGGACACAAGGCATGGCACAGCTGAACTGGGCCTGGGGAAAGTCAGTAAGAGAGTCCACAGGCCTGGGTGCAGGGACTGGCTCCTGGAACTTGGGCCTGCCCCAGCCCGAGGGCCTGGGGGGAAGAGCATGCCTCTCCTAACAACATCTGGATGTGGCTTCCAGGGCCGCCCTTCCATCCACCCATGCCTGAAGCAGGTGCAAACCAGCCACAGTTTTGGGGCAGCTGGGGGGAGGGGTGGGGCCTCAGAGTTATGGGGGGACAATCCCCATCTGAGTCCTGGGCTGCAGACACATGAGTGGACAAGATACTCCTGCACCCTGGCCCCACTGTTCCTTCCTGGAGGTTCCTGCCAGAGCTGCTCTAGAATGTGGATGTGAGTGAGTGTGTATGCCGCGTGTACGTGCAGATGTGTGTGCTTGTGTGCGTGCACGCACGGGTCCAGGCTCCCTGACCTGGCCCAGCCTCCCACCTCCCGCCTCCCCTTGCCCGGCCAAGCTTCCCTCTCAGGCAGCCCCTCCTGATTTGTAACCCTGGTCTGCCCTGGGTGTGGGGGCTGGAGGCCTGTGGCCTGAGCTCTCAGAACCCAGTGTCCCCCACCCCCATCTCACTTCTAAGTTGTTCTCAGCACAACACCCCCCACCAACACACACAGTGTCCACCTTCTGCACCTTCTCTTGAGGCCTCAGTGCTGGGCAGGGGCTCTGCACATCTTGCCCAGTCCTGCTTCTGCCAATCCCCAGATGAGGGGCCAGCCTCTGTCCCCACATCTCAGAAACCATCTGCATCAGTCTCCTAGGGCTGCTGTATAACAAGCTGTGTGGCTTAACAATAGAAGTTTCTTCTCTCGAAGTTCTGCAGGCCAGACGTCCAGAATCAGGATCACTGACCTGAAATCTGGTGTTGCCGGGCTGTGCTCCCTCCAGGGGCTCCAGGGGAGCATCTGCTCTTGCTTCTTGCAGCTTCTGGTGGCTCCAAGTACGCCCCGGCTCGCAGCTACATTGCTCCGATGTCTGCCCCTTTCTTCTCTCTCTCATGAGCATCTTTGCCACTGGATTTAGGGCCACCTGGATGATCTCCTCACTTCAAGATCCTTAATCACATCTGTCAGGACCCTTTTTCCAAATAAGATCCTGCTTACAGGTTCTGGGAGGTGGATGTATCTCTGGGGCCGCCATTCAACCCACTTCAGCATCTTTCTTGATGCAGTTGGGGGCAGGGTGGGCTTCTGGCTTCTGGGACAAAGGTCACTTGTCCAGGATGGGGACAGACCCGGTCTGGGGCAGGCGCAGAGCCACACTGAGCTGCTGAGAGACACAGAGACATGGGATGGGGGGAAGCTGGGGCCGCCCTGCCCAGACCCCATTAGAGGACTCAGAGGTGCCTGCTTCTCAGACTCCACCACCAGGGCACCCTGTGAGCTGCTCTGATGTTCACTGGCTGAAACTGACCAGAGCCGACACAGACATGGAAGGAGACTCAACCGTAGGGACAGAGCCATTGGCTGTGGGGCCATGCAGGCCAGACTGTGGGGGTTGTGACCTGGTGGGCAGGCCCTGTCTTTGGAGGACTCGAGGCATCTGCCAGGCCTGGGTGCACTGCCCTCCCTGTCAAGAAAGGGGCCCGAGCCTGGTTCTTCCTCCGTAAAACGCTGTTTCGGGGGCACATGCGTGGTGGGGTTGGGGCCTGCACCCAGTGGCGTCCTAGCCCACACACGTGCCTTCTCAGCTGCTTCCATGGAGGTGGAGGGGTGGGGCCCAGAAGGAGGGGCTGTGCCAGGGTGGCAGATGGGGCCGCAGGGCACTGGCCAGGGAGCCAGACCCCCCATGTGCAGTGCCGCAGGGAGGGGCCAGGCAGGCTTTGAAGGGTAGTCTGGGTCCCACGACCTCCCCAGACTGGGAGCCTTTGAAAGAACATCTGGAACACGGGCGACAGGCTAACTAGTCTCTGGATTTGAAAACCAAAAAGTGAATCCCAACTTTGCCACTTGTGTGTTCCCCGTTCCTCACCCTGCTCCTCTCTCTCCCCACCCTCACCTCCCACCTCCGCCCCTTCCCAGGCTGCCAAGGGGCTGCAGGGTGGGGTCTGTGCCAGTCCAGAGTGCTGGCCCTTCTGAGGGCTGCAGACTGCCTTTGTCCTGCCCTAGGCCAGCTCCTGGGCTCCCCGGCACCTCCCCCATCCCCTCCCCCACTGGCCACCACCCTAGCCCCGCTGAGCACCGGGAGGTGGTGGGAGGTGGTGGGAAGGACCTGCCATGCCAGGCCCTGGAGGCGCACTTCCCATTTTCACGGAGCACGGCTGTGGGACAGGACGTGAGTTAGCCAGGACCTGCATCTGGTGCCGGGCGCTATGCGGGCCCTGGAGGAAACACCTGCACCTGACCTAAAAGGGCATCTGGCCCTTGCCTGCGAGCCCGAGTGTGAGGTCCCCCAGCCCCGCAGGCATGCAAGGAGGCGCCTGCCCCAGCTGTGGCTGACGCAGAAACAAAGAGGCTCCCACTCCAGGAAGCAAAGCAGAGACTCACGGGAGGGGGAATACCAGGTGTTGGAGACCATTGTCCCTGCCAGTGGCCTGCGGGACCCTGGGGGGCGTCCAGGCTCAGTCCCCATCCTGCCCCCTGCCTAGGAATAGACCCAGCTTTGTAAACACAGAAACAAACAACCAGTGTGCTCCGCCTACCCCCCCTCCCCGCCCAGTTAAAGTTCGGAAGAAGCAGCAGGGATCCTGCACCTGCTGAGTGAAATGAGCCCTTGTTTGGGGGGAAATGAGGAGGTCAGGATCTGGAGGCCGGACTCCCTGGGGTTGGACGCTGGTCCTTGGGTCACCTCGGGCCTGGAGGGGCCCAGCTAGGCCTCCCTCCATGGCTCAGTTGTGGCTTGGGGGTGAGGCGGCCAGGACGCCCCGCCAGGTGAGCAGGCCTGTCCTCCGCAGCCCCAGCGAACCCTCCCCTGCCCGGCCTGCGCGGGGCGCGAGGCCAGGGGTTCGGCTGCGGCCGGAGATAAGCGCCGCACCAGCCGCTGCTTCCTGCGCTTCCTCGTACCGCTGCTGCCGCGGGCCCCTTCCGTTTTTCCGCGCGGGCGGGCTGGGGCGTGGGGATGGGGCGGGGTCGTAGGGAACAGGGCGGGGTCCTGTGATACTGGGCAGTGCCGGACTGAGCGCGGGACTGTGGGGCACAGGGCGGGGTCGTGGGAGATAAAGCAAGGCTGGGCTTCCCTGGGAGGCTGAGCGCCGGGTGCAGAAGTAGAGGGGGTGGGAGGAAGCTGAGCGGGCCGTGCTCTGAAACACAAAGGAAGAATCCCAGTGCTCCCCCCCTCCGCCCAGTTCTGGGCGGGGGAACTCACACACGCTGGGCCAAGACCCTCTGTGGACTGGACTGGAGCCTGTTCCTTGGGGCCCCTCCCCAGGTGGAGTGAGCTGAGGATTGAGTCTTGGTGTTGGGGGCCTCGCTGGGATTAGAAGTCCGCTGCTCTGACTTTTTTGGGTAACTGCTCCAGCATATGGATTTAAGGCACTTAACCTATTTGCTCAGACTTAGAGATACAGATTTATGTTACTTTAATGAAAACACATCCACACAAAACCTTGCACAGGAATGTTCATAAGAACACTAATCACAGCAGCCAAAATGCGGAGACAACCGTAAGTGTCCATCAGTTGACGAGTAGATAAATACACTAAGGTTTCTCCACACAATGGAATATAATTCAGCCCTTAAAAGGGACAAAGTAGTGATTTATGCTACAACATGGGTGAACCTTGAAGACATGATGCTCAGTAAGAGAAACCAGACTCAAAAGGCCACTTACTGTGTGATTCCATTTATGTGGAACGTCCAGAACAGGCAAATCCACAGAGACAGAAAGCAGATGAGTGTTTCCCAGGGGCTGGGGGCAAGGAGGATGAGAACGAACAGCTAATGGAGATGAGTGTCTTTTTGGGCGTGATGGAAAAGCGCTAAAAACTAGTGGCCATAGTTGTGCAACCCTGTGACTATATTAAAACCTGATGAATTGTCCACTTAGAAGTGTATGTAGGGGGAGACTGCAGCTCAGTGGTAGAGTGGGTGCTTGGCATGTATGAGGTCCTGGGTTCAATCCCCAGCACCTCCATGAAAAAGAACAATAAAAAAATAAACGAATGAATAAACCTAATTACCCCCCCAAAAACGAAGTATATGTAGGGTTTGTAGGATATGAGCTGAGTGGCTGGACTGTCCAGTGTTTGTCCAGTTGAGTGGACAGTTGGGTCCCTCCTTACCCACCCAGCACAGTGTTATTGGGGTCGGTGTAGGAGTGCAGCCTTGGTCCTGGTGTGGTGTGTGGCTGGTTGTGTGTGGTATTCCTGAGGGTGTCTGAAGTGATGACTGTGTCTACTAGGGAGAGAGGTAGACCCTACCTGCTTTCAGCAGCCCCTCCCTGACTTCCTCCTCAGGGTGGCTTGCTGGGGAGGGTTCAGCACCTCAGCTCAGGTCACTCCAGGGCCAGGCTGGGTCCTGGGTGTGGGAGCTGGGGCTCATGCCAGGCAGGGCTGCTAGAACTTCCCGCCAGGAGCTAGGTCGCCTGGGGCTGTTCCTGGCGGGCCTGACTCAGCGGGAGCTGGGGGTGGGGACTTCCCTTCTCTGACCCTAAGGGAAGCAGGTGGGCGGAGCCAGGAGAGGGAGGGGGTGTAAGGGGACGCCTGACCCAGGGCTGGAACCAGCCAGGCCCTGGGGCCCTTGGTCCTGCCCAAGAGGGCTGTCCAGTCCAGCAGGGGCAGAGCCAGGTCCCTTGGGGAGCTCCCCAGGCAGGGTGTCCTGGGAGGGACCTATTGAAAACAGCCACCCTCTGTGAGTGTGCGCACGTGTCTTGGCCTGATCCTGCTCTTGGATGCCCCTAGCCCCAAATTGGGCCCCCCTGGGGGAAGGGCTTCTGGAGGGCAAGCCACTCTGCCCCTCCCTACTGGCGCAGTGGGGCCTGTGCCAGCCTGAGGTACCTTGTGGTCCCCATCCCCCGACCTGAGGGTGGGGTGGGGTGAGGTGCTCAGAATGATGTTAGAAGATTGACCCACGAGAGACAGACAGCCACGTCTGCCTGTCTGCTGCCTTTCTCTGGGTGTGTCAGTGGGTGTCTCTGGGCTGGGGGCACAGGTGGGTTCAGACAGGGAGGCCGTTCACATGGCCTAGGCTGTAGGAGAGGCTGGGCTGGTCCTCCCTTTCCCTGGCCTTGGGTTGGGTGGGTAGGGTGAGGGGATGGGAGGATCCACACCTGGGGCAGAGGTTCCTGGACTCTGGCTGTGATGGCCCCATCCTGCAGAGGCTGTCCCCACGGCGGTGGGGGGTGGACCCCCAGGACCCAAGGAGTGGGTCACCCGGCCCCTCACCAGGGGCTGGCCCAGAGTGGGAGTCGGGGGCCCTGAGCTGGGTGTGTGCACTCTTGAGTGCTGGGGGCCTTCATGCTCGAGGCCAGGACTCAGCACTGGTGCCTCAGAGCCCCCCATGATGGATGTGGCTGGATGGACCACCCTCATCCCTTTGTGCCTCATTCCTGCCCCCTCCTGTGGACCAGCCCTGTCCTTGGTGTCCGTGGGCTGTTTCTGTCTTTCCGTCTGCCCACCCAGGACTGCTCTCTCCGAATCCATATCCTGCCCTCCTCAGCTTGGTTGTTTCTGTCCCTGTATGTGTGTCTTACTGTGTCCCTTTGTCTTTGAGGTTTCTGGGTCCTGCTCACAAAGGGATGGGGGATAGGGGCCCAGGTGCCACTCTCCCACTCCGCCAGCTGAGGTGTGGGGCTTGTGAGTTAACACAGAGCTGATGTCACCTGGTCTCTGAGAGGCAGGACACCTATAGAAACAGCCCCACACCCAGTTCACCTCTCCACATGCTCAGGCAGCAGGCCCACGTGCGTGGACATCCAGGCTTACACACAAGCACCTGCACACCCATGTGCACACACACAGCCTCAGACATACTCGGTGTCACACGGTCACCCTGATGGCTGGGCATGATGAGTCACACGATCACAATGTCACCACAACACAGCCATGCTTGGAGCCTCATGTGCTCACACGTGTCATCAGATTCAGGCTCACTGCAGGCCCAGAGCAGCACACAGCACCTCCGTGTCTCAGTCACCCAAGTCCCAGGGGAAAGCACTGCACATCGGGGGTGTCAGAGGTCAGCTGGACCCCATATGCTATGGGGGGTGGGAGCCGGGACTGAGGGACACATGACCCCGCCTCTTGGCTGAGAAGACCTGTCGGGTCCTGAGACATGTGTGAGTGTGCAGAGGGCTCACTCAGGACCCTGTCCCAGGAAAGAAGAACCGCCCAAGATGATTGTTGTGAACTTCCCCTGCGCCCATGGGCTCCCTAGTGAGGGGGACCAAGGAGGCACGTGGAAAGAGGGTGTCCAGTCCTGCTGGGAGGGCCAAAGGGCAGTGTGCTGTGTTCCAGGGTAGGAGGCTTGAGATGTGAGGCCTGAGCCCCTTGCTCTGGTCAACGACTCTGTGTCTCTGGGCAGAGCCTGGACAGATCACCCTGGGGAGCATCGTGGGTTTGTCATGGTGCTGCCCTCTCTGGGGACACTAGGTTGAGATTAATGGATGGGGGCTCTAGGATGTTATGTCTACATACAAGGTCAACCCCTCCATCCTCCTTGGGAGAGCAGCACTGTCAGGGCAGTAGGGCAGAGGGGCAGTCGCTGGGCTTGAAGGAAGTTCTAAGGAGGAGACGAGGAGGATGAGACCTGGGTCGGGGGTGAGACAGGAGGGGAATGAGGGCTGGGAGGGTGCGGGGGGGGGGCCCACACTTCCTGCCTCCCACCCACTCTGTCTAGGGTAGAGTCCTGTAAGGATGGAGCAGTGCGTGGTCCATGCTGGGAGTTGGGCTCTCTGAGGGAGATCTGGAGGGAAGGACACGTACAGGGCCCTTGGGGGAAGTGTTCCTCCCTCCCTGACAACCGCAGACACGGGAGTTCAGAGGAAAATGTGGCGCTTTATCGTGGCCGCGCCTGGCCCCCGGGGACCCGACTCCCAGCTCTTGCTTTACAGCAAACGTTATTTTAAAAGCCCGCTACATTGGTGCTGATCACTGAAACCTCTTGGGAGAAAAGGTTTAAAAGTTTAATTAAAAATTAAATATATTGTTTTCTGTATATAAAAAAAGGTAAAGTAAAAAATACAGCCTGGTTCTAGAAAATACACTGCAAGAAAAGGATGAGGCGCTTCAAAAACTTAACCTGTCCTAGGCCTGGGCTTCCTGGGAGAACCCTGGGACAAGTGGGAGCCACCCCTGCAGGCCGCCCTGGGCGGGTGGCCAAGCACCAACCTCGCTGGTTCCCGCGGGCCTGCTACAAGCAGCGGCGTCAGACACCTGTGAGAGAGACAGAGTGGTGATGCACGGCGACACCAGCGCGCGCCGGGCGGCCGGCGGCCTAGCCGGAGATGCACGCGCTGTAGTAGACGGCAGAGCTGGCGTCGGACAGCGCAGCGATCAGGCTGCTCTCCTCCGGGCAGGACATGGCGCGCGGGCCCAGCTTGGCCAGCGCCACGTGGTACGGGAGCCCGGCGGCATCGGGTCGAGTCCGGCTGCAGTTGAGGTACTGGTCGAACTCGGTGAGGTCCACGTCGGCCCACAGGTCGGCGGTGGGACCCAGCGGCTCGGCGCCCTCCAGAGGCGGGGCCTCGGGCGGCGGGGACAGCGGGCCGGGGTACGGGCTCGGGCCGGGCGCGCCCAGGGCGCCGTAGTAGAGGCTGGAGAGCGGCGCGGCGGGGGCGGGCGCGGTCCTGAGCGCCTCGGCCAGGGGCGCCCCGTAGCAGCCGCCCGGGTCCCGGGGCAACTCGGCGGTGGCGTAGGGCGCGCGGAAGGGTCGCAGCGCGCAGTCCTCGGGCGCCGCAGGCGGAGGGAAGAAAGCGGCGTCGCCGGGCTCCAGGCCGTCCAGCGGCGAGCGCTCGGGCGTGGGCAGCCCAAGGCCGTCGAACTCAGCGCCCAACGGGGGCAGCTCGCGGAAGGCACGGGCTGCGCCAGTCGCCACGGGGAAGGGCTCGGGCGGCGGCGGCGGCGGCGGGGGCGCCAGGCCCGGGAGCAGGAGGCCGGGCTCCGGCCGCCGGGCCTTGCGCGCCTGCTTCTTGCGGCGCGGCCGGTACTTGTAGTTGGGGTGGTCGCGCAGGTGTTGCACACGCAGCCGTTCCGCCTCCTCCACGAAGGGCCGCTTCTCCGCGGTGCTCAGCTCCTTCCACGCCTTGCCTGCGGGCCACCGGCGCGGGTCAGCAGGCTGCCGTCGGGCGGGCGGGCGGCCGAGCGCAGCGTGTGCCCTGGCCCACCCCTGCGCGAGGTACCCCGCCCAGCCTGCCCGCCCGCGCCACTCACCTAGCATCTTGCTGAGCACCGCGTTGTGCAGGTCCGGGTTCTGCTGTGCCAGCCGCTTGCGCTCGTCCTTCGCCCACACCATGAAGGCGTTCATGGGCCGCCGGATGCGTGACTCGTCAGCCGCCTGGCGCTCCCCGCGGCCGGCCGGGCTGAGGCCATAGCGCCCCGGCTCAGGGCTG